CCCCCCTTAAGACTGCTATTGCTTATCGAGTCAGAATGGCATTCAGCTGCGAAAGTTATCAAGTTCGAACCTCACTCAAGCCACTTGATGTCTTTCTTCCTCTGAAAATTGATAATTGAGTATTTCGCTACGGAAAGGAAACAGGAGACTGCGCGCTGTAGTGATTACCCAACCAGCAGACATAATTTTATTAAGAAAAGATGCAGCAGCGAATCGCTGCTGGCTGATGGCACGGAAACGGAGATTTGCGCTAAACCATACAGTAAATCGAAAGCAGTGGACGACAAACATCTGCAGTATCATCCAGATATCCTCAATGTTAAAGACCTTCTTTTCCCCCAAATCAGCCAAATGCTAATCACCAGCCCAACCCTTATCATCACTAGGCTTATCATTGCCATCACTGTCTTCACCATCAGTACCATCATCGTCCTCCTCTTCCTTATTATCAGGCCAATCACAGAACATCTTAGTCATCATCGTCACTTCCTTCAGCATAAGTACGTCTCCACATATTTTTGTAATGATCACGTCGATCCATTGTATCTCTTCTGATTCAGACGACTGTGCCTGCTAAATGTGAAGAGTTGTCTCCAACTACTGAGGAGCTACGTTCCGTCGCATTTAACGACACGACGTCGAAGTTTGCAGATGGAAAAGCTGAACCATGGTTGCCACAGTTGACGTGTTCGAAGACGAATAAAGACGGTATATAAGCTGTGCTCACTTTGATGTGCAGGCTTCACATGAATTGTTCTGTAGATGCGGTCTGCGATCACAGGGCAAACGGTTCGAAGCCAAAACATGAAGTGAATGGCATCTTAAACGCGATTCACGTGCGGCCAGAAATTCGAGAGTATCCGCGTCGAAAGGCACGGAAGGTGGTTCATCTTCACAGAAAAGAAAAGTTCTGATGTGGTCAAAAACCGACGTCCTATTATGTACTTTTCAGCAACACTGAGCGATCGACCACCCACCATTGCACTGATTGTCAAGGAAGCCTCGAAAGAGAGTCACAGCGCCAAAGTTTACATTTGAAATTAGCCTTAGACCCCTTTTCCTGCTTCCTCGCTACAGTCATTGCGGGTTCAGTGAAAGACGCAACTTCGTCGCGCAACGGTCCATCGCAGTTTCGAGGTTTAAAGAAATATGCATATTATAATTGGAACCTTGTTCGCTTCCGTATGATTGGTTGATTAAAACATATGTATGACAACTGCCTACAGATCATGACATTCGACAGCGTAGAAGTTGAGCATGGGAAGGATTCGTAATTTGTTTAATCACGTCTACCATTGTAAATAAAAGCTTCCAGGAAGGCAGTGGCACAACGTATGATGTACACTGCAATACGATATGACGTATTTTCTCAAAATACAATTTTGTTGAATTATTGTTTTGATTTTAACCACGGTATCCGAAGACCAATGAACGGTACCACTTTAGGCATGAATCGATACGTTCAATCCCTGAATGAAACCGTACATAGAAACAATGGAGAACGCCGGACCCTATTTCATGACTGCTCAAAGCTAGTGCCTAGATGCCTGCACAGCTTTCATTCAAATGAAAAACAGTACGGTGACACTTACCTGAAGAATCCGTTTCATCGACGCAGCTCAGACGACTTTCGTGTTGATGATGTGGACACGATCGATTGTTCCTTAAGGCCATGCATGCCTAAACTTTGAATCGTCATTTAAGGTTCAAGAACATCAGTGGAATGTCCTATGTCGAATCTAATGCCTTTTACCATTGCCAATCGCTGGGGCAAGCAAAGTTGCAACGGTGGGAAACTGTTTACAAAAATGGGATACCTGCTTCACGATAAAAGTATATGGGCAGGTATACAGCAATGATGCTTGGAATGAAAATCTGCACAGATTAACTAATGAACCTGTGATGATTTAAAATGACATATCCGTTGACGAAATCACGCTATTAGCTATGGGCTGTGGCATTATTCGATCGGATGCTAAGGACCTGAACTCAGAATCAACTCTGGTTCTTATGTCATATTTAAGTCGTGCAGTAAATCAGCTATAGCTTTCTTGTTCATAATTTTTCCAAAGGTCTCATTTGGTTGCTTTATTTTCTCACTTGTATTTATATAATTAATAGTTAACTTCCAAAAATGTAATTTATATCTGCACAGAAAAACAACATACTTCGGAGTTCCCATTCAAACAATAAACCTTCACTTTCCACTCTCACTTTCAAAATACTTGTGTAAACAAAGTGCCCATAATATTCTCCGTTTACTGACAAAAGTCAGCCTTCGCTACGTCAGTCAGCTTAAATCATGAGCCTCATCTCTCGACCAGATTTTATGGGCAGCACAGTTACGCCTTCCATTTGATTCTATTTTTCCAGAAAGTTCCGTGGTAGTAAAGCACATGCAATACATGGATGCAAAGCAGGAACAGTATGTTATGCTGGGTCGAACAAATATATATATAGTCACGATTCAACTCGTTGATTGTGACCGCCCTCCATGCACTCAAAATGTCATAATGACGAGTAGTCATCCCTTTCAAAGCGACCCCCAGATGACCACAAACAGAAGCAATTATTTTGTTCATTTCCGTTGGATTTGCCTATTTTGAACTGATGGAGAGATCGAGAGCAGAATACTTGTGTTTCAGACCATTTCTGTTTACCAACAACCTACCATGTTTTTCCACATCAAAATGTCAACACAGTGACGACTTTGGTGCCTGAACATGATGTCAAAGAAACGACAAGCAATTCGACAAAGTGACATGGCAGATGATCAAGGAGAAGTCTGAGGTATGAGGTATCCTGAGCTCAGGTATGTCGAAAACGTAGCGCTGCCGCGTTCTAAAATATGACATACTTATATAAGTAGACTTTTAATTGGCTGGAAATTGGAAGCCTTGAGAAGTGTCTTTAAGCTGCTGCCGCCACAAACTAGAAAGGAATAGTGTCTCTGAAAAAGGACTGATTGCAGCGTCCTTATTCTTTTAAATATGTTCATTTTACCAGAGTTCGTCGAGTCTGTCGAAAGATACTTGGTCAACGTGAGCAATCAATCACACCTTCCTCGGGATCACGATCAAGAGAGTTTGCTGATCCCCGTTCTGACTCGTACAAAAACGTCCT